TGGAAGATTTTAATAAGTCAAAACCTAGCACACTCGTGAGTGAGTAAGAGCACATTAGAGTGTAAAGAGAACAACTGTCCCCAAGAGAAATTATAGGCAACTCAATGCCAAATAAAATGCCTACAATTTAAAAAATAAAAAAAAAAAAAGCTAGGAAGAGCTGAAGAGGACCCAGGGCCAGTTCCCAGCATCCCGTGGCAGCTCACAACTGTCTGCAACTTCAGTTCCGGGAGATCTCACTTCTGGCCTCACTAGACATGCGCACAATACACAGTGCACACACAGACATATATGAAGGCAAAACAGCCATACATAAATTTTTTTTTTTTTGGTTTTTCGAGACAGGGTTTCTCTGTAGCTTTTGGTGCCCAACTGTCCCAGAACTAGGTCTTGTAGACCAGGCTGGCCTCGAACTCCCAGAGATCCGCCTGCCTCTGCCTCCCGAGTGCTAGGATTAAAGGCATGCGCCACGACCGCCCGGCTTCATACATAAAATTTTTAAATTAAACAAATTTCTTTGGTTTTCTCTTTTGTATGACTATAGGAGGGTGTTGCTTTTGTTGTTTTGTTTTTGGTTGTGGTTTTTGTGTTGTTTTGTTTTTTTAGAGACAGGGTTTCTCTGTGTAGCTCTGACTGTTTTGCAGAACAGAACTCACAGAGATCCAGCAGCTTCTGCCTCTTGGGTGTTGGGATTAAAAATCTGTGCCACCACCATCTGGCCATCATAAAAGTTTTAAAAAAGAATTCAAATGAAGGGTCACCAAGATGACTCAGTGGGTAAAGTGTTTGCTGCCAATACCAACAAACTGAGTTCGAGACTTAGGGCCACAGGATAGAGAGGAGCAATTCCCATAAATTGTCATTTGACTTGAACCTACATCACTCTTTCCTGACAAAAGTAGATGACTAACAAATACAACTTTAAAAAAAAAAAAGAGTGCTGGAGAGATGGCTCAGAGGTTAAGAGCATTGCCTGCTCTTCCTAAAGGTCCTGAGTTCAATTCCCAGCAACCACATGGTGGCTCACAACCATCTGTAATGGGGTCTGGTGCCCTCTTCTGGCCTGCGGGCATACACACAGACAGACTATTGTATACATAATAAATAAATATTTAAAAAAAATAAAGCAGAAACCAGTTGGGAGTCATGGTGCATGCCTGGATCCCAACACTTGAGTGGCTGAGAGGAAAAAAATTTGAGTTTCATCCCAGCTTGGGATGAAAACATACATAACAAGATCTTGTCGTAAGGGAAAGAAAAACAAGCAAACAGAAGAAATAAAACTATTTTTTTGTTGGGCCGATGAGATAACTCAGTGGGAAATGACACCTGCTACAAAACTTGATGACCTGACTTTGAACCCCAGGATCCTCATGGCAGGTGGAGAGAGCTGACTCCCGAAAGTTCCCTCTGACCTCTACTTGCATCTACATGCATACATAGCACAATAAAATACTGGTTATAGAAAGAACGGGTGTGGAGGGGAGGTGGGGAGAGGAAATAGGAGGAGAGAAGGAGAGGAGGAAAAGGAAACTGTGGTTGGGCTCTGGGGTGGCTTGAATGAAAACGGCCCCCAACAGAAGTAGCACTTGTTGGAGGAAGTGTGTCACTGTGTGGCGGGCTTTGAGCTCTCTTTTTCTCAAGCTTCCCTCAGTATGACAATCAGTCAACTTCCTGTTGTCTGTAAGATGTAGGACACTAGGCTATTGCTCCAGCACCAGGTCTGCCTGCACGCTGCCATGCTCCCCTTCACAATCATAATGAACCTCTGCCACCCTCAAATTAAATGCTTTCTTTATGAGGGTTGCCGTGGTCATGGTGTCTCTTCACAGAAATAGTATACCCTGACTAAGATAGAGTTAAAATAAATGAATAAATTTAATTAGTAAAAACATTATTTAATAAAAAAATTGTGTGTGTGTATGGATGTTTTGCTGTCTGTACATCACATATGTGCCTGGTACCCATAGAGGGCAGAAGTGAGCTCTGGATCCCCAGCAGGTACCCACCCACGAAAGCTTGTGTGGAGATTAGAGGGAAACCTCCAGCCCTCTGTTCTCTCCTTCCACCTTGGGAATCTCTGGAATCAAACTCAGGATGTAGGCTCAACAGCAAGTGCCTTTGTCTGCAGAGCCATCTTGTCAGCCCATTAACCAGTATTACCGTATCACCGTTTTCCCCTTCAGGGTAATCAAGCCATAGCCATCTACACCGTACTGCTACAGATCCTCGGATCACAGGCAGGCACAGGCTGATGGAACAGGGTATCTATCTTATTACTTCAGAAAAGGGAAAGGACGGTAAATGAGCGGTCTCAGATGCCTCAGATGGCTTTCTTCTGAACCCCCCAGAACACTTGCTAGTAACGAAAATGATCAAAATAAAGGACAGGGCTCAGAGCAAGGGGTTAATTGTTCCCCGCCAAGCTATTCAATAGAAAAGGAATCACTACCTTGGACCTAACGGGTCATCCCCATTAGATCCCTGTGTTTCACACCCCCTTAGGATTAGAGCCAGGGTTCCAAAGGAATAATTAAATCTGGGAAGAAATGGGGTCTGCAGGTGCCACGGAGTTTTTAAGCAGGAGCTCTTGGAGCTTGTGAGGACACAGACAATAGAAACACTTCTCTCCGACTCGCCCCACCCGAAGGACAGCTCAGCCCACAGGAGGTACCGGACCGAGTCTCAGCCAATGCAAGGGGACCCCAACTCTAAGCCTTCTGCAGTCAAAACTCGATTCTTCACACTTCAGAACATTTTTGGTTAACTTGATAAAAATTACTGTTATGCTCAGTAATCATATAAAAGCAGATTATACTTGTGATAGAGGAAAAGATGAAACCCCTAAGGATTCATATCCTGAGAGATGTGTACAATCTACGGGAAGTCAACTTCAGAATGTTATTGGAAGATATGGAAGATGTGGGGGGGAGGGGTGATGGAAGATTTTAATAAGTCAAAACCTAGCACACTCGTGAGTGAGTAAGAGCACATTAGAGTGTAAAGAGAACAACTGTCCCCAAGAGAAATTATAGGCAACTCAATGCCAAATAAAATGCCTACAATTTAAAAAATAAAAAAAAAAAAAGCTAGGAAGAGCTGAAGAGGACCCAGGGCCAGTTCCCAGCATCCCGTGGCAGCTCACAACTGTCTGCAACTTCAGTTCCGGGAGATCTCACTTCTGGCCTCACTAGACATGCGCACAATACACAGTGCACACACAGACATATATGAAGGCAAAACAGCCATACATAAATTTTTTTTTTTTTGGTTTTTCGAGACAGGGTTTCTCTGTAGCTTTTGGTGCCCAACTGTCCCAGAACTAGGTCTTGTAGACCAGGCTGGCCTCGAACTCCCAGAGATCCGCCTGCCTCTGCCTCCCGAGTGCTAGGATTAAAGGCATGCGCCACGACCGCCCGGCTTCATACATAAAATTTTTAAATTAAACAAATTTCTTTGGTTTTCTCTTTTGTATGACTATAGGAGGGTGTTGCTTTTGTTGTTTTGTTTTTGGTTGTGGTTTTTGTGTTGTTTTGTTTTTTTAGAGACAGGGTTTCTCTGTGTAGCTCTGACTGTTTTGCAGAACAGAACTCACAGAGATCCAGCAGCTTCTGCCTCTTGGGTGTTGGGATTAAAAATCTGTGCCACCACCATCTGGCCATCATAAAAGTTTTAAAAAAGAATTCAAATGAAGGGTCACCAAGATGACTCAGTGGGTAAAGTGTTTGCTGCCAATACCAACAAACTGAGTTCGAGACTTAGGGCCACAGGATAGAGAGGAGCAATTCCCATAAATTGTCATTTGACTTGAACCTACATCACTCTTTCCTGACAAAAGTAGATGACTAACAAATACAACTTTAAAAAAAAAAAAGAGGGCTGGAGAGATGGCTCAGAGGTTAAGAGCACTGACTGCTCTTCCAGAGGTCCTGAGTTCAAGTCCCAGCAACCACATGGTGGCTCACAGCCATCTATAATGAGATCTGTTGCCCTCTTCTGGCATGTAGGCATACATGGAAGGAATGTTGTATACATAATAAATAAATCTTAAAAAAAAAAAAAAAGAATTCAAACTAGGGGCTGGAGAGACAGCTCAGTGGTTAGGAGCACTGGCTGCTCTTCCAGAGGACCTGGGTTCAGTTCCCAGCATTTATATGGCAGCTCACGACTGTCTGTAACTCCAGTTCTAAAAGATCTGACACCTTCATGTCAAAACACATAAAATGAATTTAAATAAAATTTTAAAAGTTCAAACTAATCCTGAATATCATTTGGGAACAATGAATAAAGGGATACCATGTCACACTTTTTACATATTAATTAATTTTATTCATTTTGTATTTTACTTTCCTTTTCTAGGTGTTTTGCTGGTTTGCTGAGATGGAGCCTAACTATGTAGACCAAGCTCTGCCTCCCAAGAGCTGGGATTAAAGGCATGTGCCACCACTCCCCAACTTTATCCTCCTTTTTAAAATCTACTGATTTTGGGACTGGAGACATGACTCAGAGGTTAAAGGCACTTGCTGCTCTCTCAGAAAGCCTGGGTTCTGTTCCCAGAATCCACATAGTGGCTTAAAACAGTTTGAGAGTCTATATTTGGCGCCCTCCTCTCACCTCCATGGGCACCAAGCATGCACGAGGTGCACTTACACATATATTCAAGCAAAACGCTCATAGGCATACATTAAAAAATGCTAAACAATTATCTTAAAAAAATTATAAAATCTGCTGGCCTCGAACTCACAGAGATCCTCCTGCCTCTGCCTCCCGAGTACTGGGATTAAAGGCGTGCACCACCACCGCCCGGTTTATATCCTATCTTGTACCATTACTAATATGCTAAACTCAGAGAGCCTCTCCCCTGTAAAATCTATAAATGTAAGGAATTTCCTTCGTTAGGGCAGTTGCTGAGGGCTCTCCGAAACCACTTTCTTTCCTTGAGAGAGACCGGCAGAATTCCCGCCCAAAAAACTACAAAGCCCATAGGGCCATTCGGCCAGAACGTCTGCGCAGTAAGCACTTCTTCCTTCGTGTTCCTCATTCCCGGGCAAGAACCGCCCCGCGACACTGTGGCTTGCGCTGGAAGAAGCGGAAGAAGATGGCGCTCACCAGGTGGGTTGTTGATTTGGGTCCTCGATACGGAAGGGTCGGGAAGTACCCATCTTTTCCTTTTTTCTGCCCGGACTGTGCGGGCAGTGACCTGGCCTGGGGCGCAGTAGCACCTTGGCCGAGACCATGGCTAGAACTACTCGCTGGCTTCCTTGGCGACTAGGCCGCGACAAAGCCGGGGTCTTTCCTTAGAGGCTTCCCGGGTTGAGTTCGCCCTTTCCCCGGGGCCCAGAGCCACGGCGTGGCCTCGCGCTGAAGAGCTCACGTGTGCTTCGCGTAAGCAGCGCGGTAGGTTGGCGAGCGCCCTGCGGACCCCAGCTGAGGCGGACTCGAGGCGCGGTAGAAAGCAGCGGCTGATTTATCCCTGCTGAGAGCAAAGCGCGCCGGTCTTGTGCGTGGCTTTCCAGCCGCTTGTATGCTCTGGGCTTTGCCGTTTCCTTTCTTTTTCCGAAACAAAGATTTTGCAAAGAGCAAAAAGAGTTGGGGATGTCCCGGAACCGACCAAAAATTTTTTAAATTGGCAACAGTAGGGGCTGCTGTTTGCTAAATGCTCCGCTGCTCTGCGCTTTAACTTTGGACCTTAGAATTTCTTTTGTACATAGAACCACCTCCGACTTTTGCTGTTCTTGGTTGCCTTGGTTACCGTATGTAAAGTGCTCCCATCTTTTAAGAAAAAGATACTAAGTGGGAAATTTCCCAAAAGTTATATAACTCCTAGTTGCTCCGAGTGGAAAAACTTTCCATGCGAACTCAGCAGGAAAAGTCTTATTGGATGTTAAGCAAGTATTCATTTTTGGATGTTGTCTTTCACCTGTTTAACCCACTGCTCATATATGTCCTGGATTGTAACAGTCCGAGCCCTAAAAATGTTTTGGTCACGGGAATTACTGTTTGTTGTCCTGGTTTGACCTCGAGGTTGTAGATATAGAACGAAATGTATTTTTTGTCACCGGGAAGATGGATAAGTGATACGCAGATGAAAACAGTGCCGGCAGGAGGGACTGTGAATTCCAAGGCCAACCTGGTCTGTGATGCTGGTTTAAGTTCATAAAGAAAACAAAAACAACTAACCTATCCTCTTAATACACCTGGTAAAAAGATATCATGAGAATTTTTCTAGAGCAGACCTGTAGGTGTGTGTCTGTAGGGATTATTTTTCTAGCTAAGACATGAAGGACCAGCCAAACCACTATGGGCAGCACCATCCTCTAGACCAGTGGTCCTGAACCGTTAAAGCCTGATGAGCATAAGCCAGTCTGCCAGCCAGCAAGCAGTTCATATGGTGCCCTGCCTGCCTGCCTGCTTGCCTGCTTCTGTCCTTCCTTCCTTCCCTCCCTCCCTGCTTCCCGGTCTGCAAGAAAGCAAGTCTCTCTTGCTTTGGTTGGTAAGTGAAATCTCGCCTTTGAGTTCCTGTCTTGACAGTTCCTTGGTAAGTTGTGACTTGGAATTGTAAGCCAAATAAGCCCCTCCTCCATTATTTTATTTATTTATTTATTTATTTATTTATTTATTTATTTATTTTTGGCCAGAGAATTTTAATAACCACAACAGAAATGAAATTAGAACCAACAGAAAATGCTTATTTGTGTAGTATTAGCCTTAGTTTAAAAAATGAGTGAGTTATGCAGCCTGTAAATGTTACAGGTAGCAGACATTTGAGGGTTCTTCAGGCCTTGTGGTAGGGATTGGTAGGGTTACGAGGGGAAAAGTGGGATTTGAAATGAAAGCAGTCAAGAACAGCGCCAGGGCCGGGTGGTGCTGGCTTACGCCTTTAATCCCAGCACTAGGGAGGCAGAGGCAGGCGGATCTCTGTGAGTTCGAGACCAGCCTGGTCTACAAGAGCTAGTTCCAGGACAGGCTCCAAAACCATAGAGAAACCCTGTCTCGAAAAACCAAAAAAAAAAAAAAAAAAAA